TATGAACTCAGACAGTACACCACGTATTGACCTCTGCTGCGCATCGGTCAATACCCCACTGTACTGTCTTCATGCATACTTTGAGGTATTCTCGTAATAACCTTATAATATGGTTATGAGAAATGAAGTTTCATAATTTGGATACTTCAATTCATAATTAGTTTTACATTCGGGAGTTGTTTAAGGTCTGATAACGAATAAAATGTCTTATTTTGAAACATTCAAATTCGAGTAGCTTCTTGGAAATACAATACCCTTTAATATTTAATATAATAACAATATATTAGAAAATACTAGTTCCACTAATTGCATATGATATGTTTTGTCATTTGGATCAATAAGAGCAGAAACTACCACAGCTGCAAAGTACTTCTCTTTATACTAATGTGAAATACTTATTGCACGAATTTATTTTTGCTTATGAGGGATTAAATACAAGGATTTATTCATGAATACACAAATACACAAATGTAAAATATCCTCAACTAATCAATCTTATACAAGCATGGGTTTTGACCATTTTAACATTGAGTGGATATACACAAAATTTTAAACATTGAGATGAACCATGTGTATAATCTGAACTATTGGATTACAATTCATCCATTCCATCTGGATTCCGGAGTGCATATAAAGATTTGCATAGTGAGGTTTTATTACCGTCATTACTTTGTATATTTTTCTTGATTTCGACATGAGAAACATTGCAATAAATTTGTAGCTAGAAAAAATATCTGAATTCTGTTAAAAATCAACAATCTTTTTGAATAACAATACAGTAAATTATATGTTAAACAAATAACAATAACATCAGATTTGGAGATATTTTCTTTACATAGCTCAAAAATATTAAAAAAACAAAGAATTATTTTTAGTCCTGTTTGGATGCATCTAGCCAAAATCCCTCATGTGCTTGGCTCGATCAAGCTTAATATTCACAGATACATCTGGTATATCAGACTGACAATACATTTCACATGCATTTGTTTGATGATCTGATTCAAGAAAGGAGCTATTTTAATGCATAATTTGCATATTAATTACCTGATTTTAATTTGTTTCATGTGCTTGGCTCGATCAAGTTTAATATTCACAAATACATCTGGTATATCAGACTGACAGTACATTTCACATGCATTTGTTTGATGATCTGATTCAAGAAAGGAGCTGTTTTAATTTGCATAATTTGCATATTAATTTACCGATTTTAATTTGTTTCATTTGTTTCTCATGTACTATTAAACAGATTTCAATGAAACTTGGTAGGTACTCTAGGATAATGCTCAAACCTGATTGTTTTTTGGCTGAAATTTCGTGCATATTAATTACC